TATCTTAACGATAAAAATTTTATTAATGGAGTTCCTAGTAGGAAAAGAGATTAACATATTCCCATTAATCATTAGAAATCTAAAAAAAAATTAAAATATGAGCAAATCTGATATTTATATTAATAATAAGTTTAAATCTCTCCGATAAAAATTTTATTAATGGAGTTCCTAGTAGGAAAAGAGATTAACATATTCCCATTAATCATTAGAAATCTAAAAAAAATTAAAATATGAGTAAATCTGATATTTATAGGAATAATAAGTATTTATCTCAACGATAAAAATTTTATTAATGGAGTTCCTAGTAGGAAAAGAGATTAACATATTCCAATCATTAAAAATCTTAAAATAAAATTAAAATATGAGCAAATCTGATATTTATAGAAATAATAAGTATAAATCTCAACGATAAAAAATTTTTTAATGGAGTTCCTAGTAGGAAAAGATATTAACATATTCCCATTAATCATTCGAAATCTAGAAAAAAATTAAAATATGAGTAAATCTCATATTTATAGGAATAATAAATATAAATCTACGATTAAAATTTTATTAATGGAGTTCCTAGTAGGAAAAGAGATCAACATATTCCCATTAATCATTAGAAATCTAAAAAAAAATTAAAATATGAGTAAATCTGATATTTATGGGAATAATAAGTATAAATCTCTATGATAAAAATTTTATTAATGGAGTTCCTAGTAGGAAAAGAGATTAACATATTCCCATTAATCATTAGAAATCTAAAAAAAAATTAAATATGAGTAAATCTGATATTTATAGGAATAATAAGTATTTATCTCAACGATAAAAATTTTATTAATGGAGTTCCTAGTAGGAAAAGAGATTAACATATTCCCATTAAACATTAGAAATCTAAAAAAAAATTAAAATATGAGTAAATCTGATATTTACAAAAATATTAAGTATAAATCTCTATGATAAAAATTTTATTAATGGAGTTCCTAGTAGGAAAAGAGATTAACATATTCAAATTAATCATTAGAAATCTAAAAAAAAACTAAAATATGAGTAAATCTGATATTTATAGGAATAATAAGTATAAATCTCTACGATAAAAATTTTATTAATGGAGTTCCTAGTAGGAAAAGAGATTAACATATTCCCATTAATCATTAGAAATCTAAAAAAAAATTAAATATGAGTAAATCTGATATTTATAGGAATAATAAGTATTTATCTCAACGATAAAAAATTTATTAATGGAGTTCCTAGTAGGAAAAGAGATTAACATATTCCCATTAAACATTAGAAATCTAAAAAAAAATTAAAATATGAGTAAATCTGATATTTACAGGAATAATAAGTATAAATCTCTACGATAAAAATTTTATTAATAAAGTTCCTAGTAGGAAAAGAGATTAACATATTCCCATTAATCATTAGAAATCTAAAAAAAATTAAAATATGAGTAAATCTGATATTTATAGAAATAATAAGTATAAATCTCAACGATAAAAATTTTATTAATGAAGTTCCTAGTAGGAAAAGAGATTAACATATTCCCATTAATTATTAGAAATCTAAAAAAAAATTAAAATATGAGTAAATCTGATATTTATAGGAATAATAAATATAAATCTACGATTAAAATTTTATTAATGGAGTTCCTAGTAGGAAAAGAGATCAACATATTCCCATTAATCATTAGAAATCTAAAAAAAAATTAAAATATGAGTAAATCTGATATTTATAGGAATAATAAGTATTTATCTCAACGATAAAAATTTTATTAATGGAGTTCCTAGTAGGAAAAGAGATTAACATATTCCAATCATTAGAAATCTTAAAATAAAATTAAAATATGAGCAAATCTGATATTTATAGAAGGAATAAGTATAAATCTCAACGATAAAAAATTTTTTAATGGAGTTCCTAGTAGGAAAAGATATTAACATATTCCCATTAATCATTCGAAATCTAGAAAAAAATTAAAATATGAGTAAATCTCATATTTATAGGAATAATAAATATAAATCTACGATTAAAATTTTATTAATGGAGTTCCTAGTAGGAAAAGAGATCAACATATTCCCATTAATCATTAGAAATCTAAAAAAAAATTAAAATATGAGTAAATCTGATATTTATGGGAATAATAAGTATAAATCTCTATGATAAAAATTTTATTAATGGAGTTCCTAGTAGGAAAAGAGATTAACATATTCCCATTAATCATTAGAAATCTAAAAAAAAATTAAATATGAGTAAATCTGATATTTATAGGAATAATAAGTATTTATCTCAACGATAAAAATTTTATTAATGGAGTTCCTAGTAGGAAAAGAGATTAACATATTCCCATTAAACATTAGAAATCTAAAAAAAAATTAAAATATGAGTAAATCTGATATTTACAAAAATATTAAGTATAAATCTCTATGATAAAAATTTTATTAATGGAGTTCCTAGTAGGAAAAGAAATTAACATATTCCCATTAATCATTAGAAATCTAAAAAAAAATTAAAATATGAGTAAATCTGATATTTACAAAAATATTAAGTATAAATCTCTATGATAAAAATTTTATTAATGGAGTTCCTAGTAGGAAAAGAGATTAACATATTCCCATTAATCATTAGAAATCTAAAAAAAAATTAAATATGAGTAAATCTGATATTTATAGGAATAATAAGTATTTATCTCAACGATAAAAAATTTATTAATGGAGTTCCTAGTAGGAAAAGAGATTAACATATTCCCATTAATCATTAGAAATCTAAAAAAAAACTAAAATATGAGTAAATCTGATATTTATAGGAATAATAAGTATAAATCTCTACGATAAAAATTTTATTAATGGAGTTCCTAGTAGGAAAAGAGATTAACATATTCCCATTAATCATTAGAAATCTAAAAAAAATTAAATATGAGTAAATCTGATATTTATAGGAATAATAAGTATTTATCTCAACGATAAAAAATTTATTAATGGAGTTCCTAGTAGGAAAAGAGATTAACATATTCCCATTAAACATTAGAAATCTAAAAAAAAATTAAAATATGAGTAAATCTGATATTTACAGGAATAATAAGTATAAATCTCTACGATAAAAATTTTATTAATAAAGTTCCTAGTAGGAAAAGAGATTAACATATTCCCATTAATCATTAGAAATCTAAAAAAAATTAAAATATGAGTAAATCTGATATTTATAGAAATAATAAGTATAAATCTCAACGATAAAAATTTTATTAATGAAGTTCCTAGTAGGAAAAGAGATTAACATATTCCCATTAATTATTAGAAATCTAAAAAAAAATTAAAATATGAGTAAATCTGATATTTATAGGAATAATAAATATAAATCTACGATTAAAATTTTATTAATGGAGTTCCTAGTAGGAAAAGAGATCAACATATTCCCATTAATCATTAGAAATCTAAAAAAAATTAAAATATGAGTAAATCTGATATTTATAGGAATAATAAGTATAAATCTCTACGATAAAAATTTTATTAATGGAGTTCCTAGTAGGAAAAGAGATTAACATATTCCCATTAATCATTAGAAATCTAAAAAAAAATTAAATATGAGTAAATCTGATATTTATAGGAATAATAAGTATAAATCTCTACGATAAAAATTTTATTAATAGAGTTCCTAGTAGGAAAAGAGATTAACATATTCCCATTAATCATTAGAAATCTAAAAAAAAATTTAATATGAGTAAATCTGATATTTATAGGAATAATAAGTATAAATCTCTACGATAAAAATTTTATTAATGGAGTTCCTAGTAGGAAAAGAGATTAACATATTGCCATTAATCATTAGAAAGAAATCTAAAAAAAAATTAAAATATGAGTAAATCTGATATTTATAGGAATAATAAGTATAAATCTCTACGATAAAATTTTTATTAATGGAGTTCCTAGTAGGAAAAGAGATTAACATATTCCCATTAATCATTAGAAATCTAAAAAAAAATTAAATATGAGTAAATCTGATATTTATAATAATAATAAGTATAAATCTCTACGATAAAAATTTTATTAATATAGTTCCTAGTAGGAAAAGAGATTAACATATTCCCATTAATCATTAGATATCTAAAAAAAAAATATGAGTAAATCTGATATTTATAGGAATAATAAGTATTTATCTCAACGATAAAAATTTTATTTGGAGTTCCTAGTAGGAAAAGAGATCAACATACTCCCATTAATCATTTGAAATCTAGAAAAAAATTAAAATATGAATAAATCTGATATTTATGGGAATAATAAGTATAAATCTCTACGATAAAAATTTTATTAATAGAGTTTCTAGTAGGAAAAGAGATCAACATATTCCCATTAATCATTAGAAATCTAACAAAAAATTAAAATATGAGCAAATCTGATATTTATAGGAATAATAAGTATAAATCTCTACGATAAAAATTTTAATAATGGAGTTCCTAGTAATATTAACCATATTGTATTATCTATAATATTGAATTATAAATAAATTATATTAAATAGATAAATAATATTATAAATATATAAAATATGAAATATATAATATAAATTATTATATTTTAATTATATATTAATTATGTTAATAATATTAATTATTACATTATAATTAAATCATATTATATAATTATATATTACTAAAATTTATATTAATACAATTTATATATTTTTATTTATATTAAATTAATTTAATTACTTTAAATATTATATTAATAATATATTTTGTTAAATATTACAATTATATATTTTTATTTATATTAAATTAATTTATTTACTTTAAATATTATATTAATAATATTATGTTTAATATTACAATTATATATTTAATAAAATTTATATTAAATGATTTTAATATTAATTATATAATTATATTAAATATTTGATTAAGGTATTTACTAAAATTTATAATGATATTAATTTAATATTAAATACTTAAATAGAAAAAACTATCTAATCTGTAAAAGTCAAATTTTTGATATTATTTTAAATCTCTTGCTTCAAACTTATAGGGGCCATTTTGACAGCCATTTTAGCTTATTTGGCTTTTTGCTATTTTTAAGAATATATAAAGCGGACCCGAACCAAGCGCACCCGAACCCAATATATTGGCTTGTAATAATGGATATTTTTAAAAAACTCACGTGTGGGGCGAAATTTAAACGTAAAAAATATATCACTGAAAAGGTATAATTTTATTTTTTATACCAAATGCTATTATTAGCTATTAGTCGATTGATATTATCAATAATAGATCTTCAAACATAACTGTGAAACAAGTAGATAAAGAGCTTAAAGAATCTGATAAAATCAGCTTGATTAAATCACTAGAGAAAGTACTATATTATCAAGTTTTATTTATATTTATTAGATATATATTCTAAGAAAACAAAATAAAATCTATGTATATGGAACTGATATCCCTGAACCTATTAGTAAATTTGATGATATTATTAGTTCGTCACATCAAACACTTTTCTTAAACTTGATAAAATTAGGCTATAAGGATCTTACTCCAGTTCAAGTGAAATATTTTTTTTTACAAATGTAGACAATTAATCTATATAAACACTTTTATGTGTGGGCTATAACTCTGCATTGCTCAGCTCAATTGGCGGTTTTTTATGGTAAAAATTACCATGATGTCAGTGTAAACCCTGACCATTGGTTCTTACTTTATTGAAAACCACAACATACACCTATTAAAAATTAGATACTTTAAGTAATAAGCTTTTAAATTTTTTATGACAATTCCAGTCCTATGTCTCATCTATCCTAAGAAATTAATAACAAAAATGGCTCCTCCTTCAGTCCCAAATAATAATTATGGAAACAGGACTAGAATGAAAGGGTCATTTCCCAACACTAACTATCATAAACCAATTGATACAGATTTGCCAGGTCAGATTTAGTCCTGATCTCACAATTTCTTAATTATATTCAATCATGTTTTTTCTCACACTTTTCTAAAATTTTTGAAAAAATTGAAATAATCATACTTCTGTTTAAAAATATTTTTAGAAACAAATATAGAAACTTAAATTTTTTTATTATGAATAATTTTATTTAGATGGTTTCACTTTAAAAGAAAAATACAATATAAACAATATCAAAATAAAATATATATCAAAAAAGAAAGGAATTGTATCAGCATATTTTGAAAGAGATATGCTGACTGGGTTAAATGTTAAACTAAAACTTCTAATTAATAGTTAATAAATATTGAAAAAGAGTTACAAAATAAAATAACTCTTTTTCATATATATAATTTGTAAAATTATTTTAAATCATGTGTGAAAATACTTTGGTAAATTAATTTTTAAGAAAATCAGAAATACACCATAATTTATTTTAGTGTCGTTAAACTGCTTGTTTTGAGCTGATTTTTAAAAACGGCTAACTCAATATCTCATCTAGAATAATATTACACAAGTCTTAAGATTTTGTTTATAGAAGGAATATAGGTTTGGACTTATTTTGAGGCATAGGCAACATTTTTTTAGCTTAAATATTGAGTTAGCTGTTTTTAAATGAGCTGTTTATCAACACTAATTTATTTTTGTGAGTGCTTAAAATTACAAAAAATTTATTCTCACACTATTATATTTTAATTTTAAACTATTATAAATTAACTTGATCCAAGATTTCAAAATCTGAAGATTATTTCTGAATATTTTGTTACAAATTTTGCAACAACACTTCAATTTTATATTAAATAACTACCACTTATTGACCATGATCGAAATGTAGAAAAGGAGATGTAAATTGCACACAAGGCTTAATTATTTTTTATTTCGAACTGTAGTCGAGACCAGTTTTTATAAATAATTTTAAGTTTGCCTTACTATTCAATTCATTGAAATTTTTGTGTATATTTTATTTTATATTCTAGAGGAGTTACTTTAGTTTTTGTGTTTTTAATTCTTTTTGCAATATACTATGAAAACAAAAACCTTGTCAAAAAATTTTTTATTATATTTTTCATATATGATTTAATATTGTTAGCAATATTTTTATATTTAATAAAATAATGAAACAAGAATTAAATTAGGTAAAATATAACAATAAAAATTAGTATGTAATAGTTTATAAATTATTTGAAAGATGGCGCGAATAAATGATAATGATGAAATGGTGTGATAATGATTAAATTTTAAACTAATGCTAAATACATTTTAAGAAGTGAAAGAATAAAATTGTGAAAAAAAAGCGCAAATAAATAACTCATTGTGAATCAAATATGACATAGATTAAACAAGAGAATTAAAATTAACATCGTTATAAGTCGGTCAATAATGGCGTAAACTTGGGTGACTACCACCAATAATGGATTCTAATGTAATATGACTTTTTGCACAAATAAATAAAATAATAAAGATGTAATAATTATTAAAGCTGAAATGTGCCTAATAAGACATGAATGAGTAAAAAAATACTATAGTAACATGAAAATATTATAGCTGAAGGAAAAGTTAATGGTAAATATATCTATTAAGATGCAAAAGAATTGAAATGAGAAAAAGACACTTAAATAATTTTTCAAAAATTTCAAAGTAATAGGTGAAGAAATACTAAAATACTATGGGGCTATATAAATATTTGTTTATTTTTAATATTTTTTTTGGATTCTACTAAAGGTAGGGAGATTGATATTAATTGAGATTGACATACGATTTGAACAATATCATAAATTTATTATTATATATTTTTTTTTCTGATCACTCACTTTTTTATTTTAGTGGTCTGAAATGTGGACATTTTCTCCCAGTTTTGTGGGTTAATTGTCCACTTGGTCTTATAGCCAATCCACTACTAGAAAGCATCAACATTGAGTTTATATTATGGGGCGGTATTAATACTGACTCTAATTATTAAATTATAAATTTGTTGATAGGTAAGGTTAAATATTGTTTACCAATGTCCAGATAAAAGGAAATTTTGCCTCCATTTCTAAATCTAAATATCATTGAATTTGACCATTCAAATTATATTTTCAACTCCAGGATTTTAGATGATTTTCTAAAACAAGAGTGATTATTCACTAACCATTCCTGAAAAAAAAATTAAGATGTTTATAAAAGTAATTAAATTGGGGGTAGGGGCAGTGAAATGATATATTTTCTTTGCAGTGATACACCATGCCACCGTTTTTTATAAAATTTTTGATAAAGGGAATACACTATTTATTTTTAGTAGGAGCACTACAGCTACCCTTTCCAAAACTACCGCTTATTATTATATCGCTTCTTTTAGATGCAAAGCTTACCGTTGATGATAGGAAGGCGCGAAATATTGGTATGTGCCCCAACCGGAAGTGGGAAAACTGCGGCATTTTTAGTTCCTATAATCATACATTTAAAGGTTATTATAAGTAATCAAAATAATCATATAATCTAAACTAACTTTTTAAAATTATATAATTAAATCCAAATTACAGGTAATATAAAAAGAAGTTTTTTAAGGAGCCTAATTGTTGAGGAGGGGAATGACTATTTTATCGTAGTTTAATTGAATTGTTTTAAGGGGTGTTTAAAATATTTTCAAAAGAGTATACCTTTGTATTTTTAAAAATTAGTTTATTTGGAAAATCGAATATATTACAATTAAAATTTTTTAGCATCACAAACCTAAAGGTTTCCGGGCTTTGATCATATCTCCTACTAGAGAACTCTGTAGGCAAACTTATTTGTTCTGCAAAGCCTTAACGATGGGTACAAAAATTAGAACTCACTTATTGCCGAAAGTAATACTTATCAGAGATCTTTATGGGTCTTGATTTTTTGATCACAGGCTCACAGTAAATTTTTTTTTGCCCAGCTCGCATTTAATATTAAAAATTCCAAGCCTGCAATAAGTTTCAAAAATTTTGCTCTAGCTCATCAAATCATTTTATATAATTATGCTGAAATAATACTAATGGAAATATAACATTTTATTTAGTGATTATATAATATTTATAAAAAAGAACAATATTTCAGTGTAGTTAGGCAATCATTCTTTGCAATACTAAAATTTATTATTTTAGAAGAAGAAAATTACAATATTTTTTTAACCCATTAATGGTCACACTTTTTCCAGTATATAAAAATTCTTGATTTTTTCAAAATTTTATTTATTTTAGTCTAACTAAGAAATCATAAAAAAATCGGCATGAAAAAAATTATCCTAAATAGGAAATCTGAACCGTTGCTTCTGCAACGTTGACCATTTGGGGTATAAAATTTAGGAATGTGAACCCGAACCCTGAACCCTTGTATTTTGGATGAACCCGAACCCGGACCTTTTTTAAAAGTGGAGGGTCCAAGTGTTCTAGGTGTCTTAAAAAATTTTAAAAATAAAAATATTTTTTTAAAAAATAATATAAATTTTATTAACTTTTTTTGTGGAATCATTTATTTTATCTTCGCGTTTTTCTTTCAATTTTCTTCCTGGACTTCCATTTCATTTAGAGATTGATATCATTAGTGTAGGTAATAATATCTTATGCAAATTTTTTAATATGCTATGATATAGAAATACGTTGATTATTTTTAAAGTGAATTGTGTAATAATATTTTAATTTAAATGATAATGCACAACACGTTCGTCCTCAATTTGTATGATGCTAGAACGATTATTAAGTTTGAAATATTTCTGTAATGATTTTATTATAGGAGCATGTCAAGTCATTTTGTCTGAAGATGATTGTTGTCAAATAAAAGACCTTACTAGTGTATTAGTTCCTTTAAAAGTAACAATATTAAGATTACAATCAGAACATTTATGTTTATTTGATTTTATGGCATATGGATTAGATGCCGATTAGATTTAGAAAAATTTACAGTTCTTTTTATACGAAATATTAGAAAACATGTCGAGAGCAACAATATTTGAAAAATAGTGTTGTATACGCTTCTATATATTTAGACCCTCGATATCAAGTTTTATTGAGTATTGAGCTAAAACAAATGGCTAAAGACCATCTTAAGGATTTAAGGCATACTCAAAACTCCATTATTTACAATATATTGGAGGCTACGGCAATACCTACTGGTAGTAGTGATAATAATAATGATAGCAACATTGTTGATTCTTGAAATTTTACTTTTAAATAGAGAAAAAAAAATAAAATTATCATCAGATAGAAAGGAGGATTAAAAAATGCCTATTGCATCTTTAATAGTAAAGTTCTCAGAAGTTAAGAGAATAAATAAAGATATAAATATTTAAAATTCTGTGAAAAAAATTCTTCAATATATCCAGAATTAAGTATCTTATCTAGAATCTTCATGGCTGTATCGGCATCGCAAGTATAATAATTTTATAAAGATAACTATCTATTTTAGGTAAGGGTATACATGAATTTTCATCTGTGAAATATATATTGTCTAATTTATGTGGAAATCTCAAGGATGATATTTTAGAAGATATTATGATTGTGCAATTGAATAAAACATTTAAAATATAAAATTTTTAAATTTTTCATTTGTAAATTATGAATATGTATATGTCGTAATTTTTAAAGTGATCATAACTATCCGTGATCTTCACGGGATTTAAAGGGATCCCTTTAAAATTTCAAGTTTTTAAAGGATAAAGAACTATACGGCATTATCACGTCGAGATAAAGAGGAATCTTATTTTAAAAGCGTTTTCCACGCGTTTCGTTGCGTTTTTTAATTTTATTGGTATTCATTAATTTTCAATGTTGTTTTTTTGGCCTTATGAAATGAGATATGTCTAATATAGGGTATCAATCATACCTAATCAAAAGATCTATTCAACTGGAGGTCTATCTATCCCCTATAATGGGCGGGTCTAGGTCTTGGGGGGTCAGAATTTTTTTTATCAACACAAAATATCGATATGGGTATCAAATAAAAGCTAATTTTAATATGGCTTGACTGAAAGTCTTCATTCTTGGTCTGGATTGGTATGACTTGGTTGGGGGGGGGGGTAAATAGAAGGGGATTTTAATATCGTTTGACTGAAAGTCTTCATTCTTGGTCTGGGGGTAGGGGGGGTGGTGTAAAAAATAATTTTCTTTGATATCAAATAAAAGTAATTTTAATATCGTTTGACTGAAAGTCCTCATTCTTGGTCTTGATGGATATGACTTGGGGTGGGGGGTGGGTGTGTAAAAATAATTTTTTTTGATATGGGTATCAAATAAAAGGTAATTTTAATATGGTTTGACTGAAAGTCTTCATTCTTGGTCTTGATATGGGTATGACTTGGTCTGGGGTGGGGGGTGAGGGGGGTGTAAAAAATAATTTTTTTTGATATGGGTATCAAATTTTAATATCGTTTGACTGAAAGTCTTCATTCTTGGTCTTGATGGGTATGACTTGGTCGGGGGGTGGGGGGGGGTGTAAAAAATATTTTTTTTAGATATGGATATCAAATAAAAGCTATTTAATATGGTTTGACTGAAATTCTTTATTCTTGGTCTTGATGGGTATGACTTGGTCTGGAGGGTGGGGGTAGAGTGGGGGGATGTAAAAAATAATTTTTTTTGATATGGGTATCAAATAAAAGCTAATTTAAATATCTTTAGATTGAAAATATTCATTTTTTGTCTTGATGGGTATGACTGTCAGGCCCTCAACATATTATAAAATGTCTAGTTGGATAGAATTTACAGAAATAAAAGAGAATGATGATAAAATAATTTTTTAAATCTTTTTTCGATTCCAATCCTGAACTTGAAATATATAATTTGAAGTGTTCTATATTTAACGCCTTATTCCATAGCTATTTTTTTTAGTATCGTTAACTTTAGCATGCTACATTTTTTTAAAAAGAGAGATAGCGGTAGCTCGTTACTAAATAAATAGCAAAAATTATTATAATAATCTTATTCTTATAATTAATTCTAAAATTATAATCTTTTTATTTTATTTTAAAATTTACATTTACATTTAAAAATATACATTGTAAATATATTAAAAAAATTTTTTTTAATGTCGACAGTAGACATTGATGATGAAAATAATTTTGGTACAGATAAAATAAAAATATTATAATTTTAGAATTAATTATAAAATTATTATAATAATTTTTGCTTTTTATTTAGTAACATGCTACCGCTATCTCTCTTTTTAAAATAATGTAGCACGCTAAAGCTATCGAACTAAAAAAAATAGCTATGGAATAACGCCTTAAATATAGAGCACTGCAAATTATATATTTCAATTTCAGGATTAAAACCGAAAAAAGATTTAAAAAATATTTTATCCTCATTCTCTATTATTTCTGTAAATTCTATCCAACTTGACATTTTTTTAATATGTTGAGGGCCTGACAGTCATACCCATCAAGACAAAAAATGAAGACTTTCAGTATAAAGATATTAAAATTAGCTTTTATTTGATACTCATATCAATATTTTGTGTTGATAAAAATATTCCTGACCTCCCCCCTCCCCCTTCCCCCCCAAAAAAACCTAGTTCCCGCCCTCTATGAGTGATGATTATTATTACAATAAAAAAATATTTTAATTACCTTTTATTACCCACAAAAAAAATTATTTTTTACACCCCCCCCCCCACTCCAACCCTACCCCTCAGAGCAAGTCATACCCATCCAGATCAAGAATGAAGACTTTCAGTCAAACGATATTAAAATTAGCTTTTATTTGATACCCATATCAAAAAATATATTTTTAACCCCCCCCCTCCCCTCCCCAGACATAATCACCCATCAAGACCAAGAATGAAGACTTTAAGTCAAACGATATTAAAATTAGCTTTTATTTGATACCTATATCAAAAAAATATTTTTTACACTAACCCCCTCCATACACCCCCCCCCCCCCCTCCCTCCCTTCCCACGCCCAGACCAAGAATGAAGACTTTCAGTCAAACCATATTAAAATTAGCTTTTATTTGATACCCATATCAAAAAAAATTATTTTTTACACCCCCCCCCCCCCACCCTTCTCCCAGACCGAGTCATACCCATCAAGACCAAAAATGAAGACTTTCAGTCAAACGATATTAAAATTAGCTTTTATTTGATACCCATATCAAAAAAAATTATTTTTTACACCCTCCCCCCACCTCCCTCCCAGATCGAGTCATACCCATCAAGACCAAAAATGAAGACTTTTAGTCAAACGATATTAAAATTAGCTTTTATTTGATACCCATATCAAAAAAAATTATTTTTTTACACCCCCACCCCCCAGACCAAGTCATACCCATCAAGACCAAGAATGAACTTTCAGTCAAACCATATTAAAATTAGCTTTTATTTGATATCCATAGCAAAAAAAATTATTTTTTACACCCCCACCCCCAAACTAAGTCATACCCATCAAGACCAAGAATGAAGACTTTCAGTCATGCCATATTAAAATTAGCTTTTATTTTATACTCATATCAATATTTTGTGTTGATAAAAATATTTCTAACCCCCCCCCCCCCCCCCCCCAAGACCTAGACCCGCTCATTATGGGAGAGAGATTGACCTCCAGTTGAATAGATCTTTTGATTAGCTATCGATTGATACCGTATATTAGATATATCTTAGTTCATAAGGCCATAAAAAACAACATGGAAAATTAATGAATAACAATAAAATTAAAAAACGTAACGAAATGCGTGGAAAACGCTTTTAAAATAAGATTCCTCTTTATCACGATTAAAACGTGATAATACCGTATTATCATTCCTTAACTTAAAACCATAATTTTTTAGTTATCCCTTTAAATCCCGTGAAGATCCCGGATGTTTATGATCCCTTTAAAAATTACTACAGTAA